TTTCATGGAACGTATTTAGGACGTCCCATTGTGCTTTTCCTCACCTGTTCTAAGGTTGTTTTTTCCTCTCGCTTATCACCTTGTCACATTGAATAGCTTGTCTACGTTGATGATGATGTATTTTGGGCGGTGAAAACTGACGATTATTGCTCTTAAAACATCGAAAACCATGCGTAAAATGATTTACTTCTCCCAGTGATCGCATTGTGCAGTCGATTACTGTCCGGATGATATTTTGAAGACCTTGTGCGCGATTCACAAATGAAAATTCCAATTGTGAATAAATTTTCCTCCTGGATTGTATGTGGCTTGATAAAATCACATTGATTTTTTTGTTTTACTTAATCACCCGTTTCGTTCCATTTTTCGCCTGAACAGCGGTCATTATTGGTCGACCTAGTGAACACACCATCTTAGCTCGCATTGTCAGGATTATAGTTCTTGAAATGAGGAATAATTTCACTTTGATAGATAATGCTTCCCTGTCAGCGGCTATTGGCTGCATTATCGCTCACTTACGTGGAGCGCTCACCAATACTACATGTGTATACCATAGTACATATAACAGTCTTACTGTGATCTCTGCGGTATGCTGTTTAGTTGTACAGTTTAATCAAGTTTGCAATAGGCCCGACGTGTTTGAGGCTCGTTCATAGTTAGTGAAAGTAAGCAGTCATAGCTGGTTGTTTGTACTGTGCCAAATACCAGTTTCTACTATTTATCAGTTCGCACGACATAGAAATCCGATCAATTTGGGTTAGAACTGTTGTGTTTATGAATTTGATATTCCTCGATGAACTGAAAATGGCATGTCCAATTGTTTTAGCCACACTTATCTGAGACAGTTGTGCTTCACTTCGCTTCAGGTTGCCGAACGTGCCCTGTATTTTTGGAGCAATGATTATATCCTTCAATTGATGCACGATCATGTGGAGGAAATCTTGCCCATCATGTTTCCTGCTCTGTTTCGCACCAAACAACATTGGAACAAGTGAGTCCATTTCAATTCACACTTATTCTGATTTCTTTTTATTTCACTGCGACGAAAAACAGACAGACAACCTTCCCCCTCCGATCATCCTGTTCACTCATCAAAACTGGCCATCCAGACTGCGGGACTTTGAGTAGCAAACTACATAAGGCCCCACTAGGTTAGGTGTGGTATTGAACGTGGCTTGTCGTTCGGGCATCGTTCATTTAGACCACGAACCCTTGGTATTGTTAACATACATTGCAGTAGAAAGGACAGACTGTTTCTCATTCAGTTTTTGTCAGTGTCTCATGCTCACTTCATGTCATTCATCTGACTTGTTCACGTGATGTTTGCCCTCTCTCTCATAATGGTTGGATGGCATGAAACCAAACATGTGATTCGTCTTCGAAACACTTGAACCGCCCTCTTGAGGTTCCGAATTACCAGCTGAATGGATTTTGACCCCTGTGCACACAAATCATTCTTGTCACGTTTTTTTCTCACTTGGCTTCTCACACGTGATGCAAATCGTTTATCGACTAAACAATCACAGTTATAAGTTAAAAAAACTAGAGTATTTTCATAATGAAGGTTCCTTTGCCAGTTTTGTTATTTTTCATAGTTTTTTCTATTAATTTGATACTACGAGAGCCTAACTGATTCACCAGGTCACCACCTAAATCGAATTGGTTGGTTTCTCATCATGGTCCTTTTAAGCGCTGGCTTTGGTTAACTCCCCGGTTGACAAGATTCCCATCGGACAGAATCATCGGCACTGGCCCAGCGATTGAGGTCACTATTATAACACTCCGTACATCATCTGTTCAAGTTCCAACGCCATCGCTTATCTTACCAATTCTGCCGACCCTCTCACGACTGTAGCTGCCCTTCCTGAATAAGTTGAATGTTCCGTTACATGTTTATTGGATAAAAGGAGTATCAAAATTTGATCAAAACATTACTATTGTTATGCTTCAATCATAGTTTCCTAAAACATCCGATAAACTTTAATTACCTCGGTGGTTGGATGACCAAGATGTGAAAAAGTCGGTTGTGTCGATTTGGTCGCATGACCTATTTTGTGGAGCGCGTATTGTCCAAATGCGTGGATAGCAGCCATGCGCGGATTTGATTTCCACCGAGATGACCAATCCTTTTCGCAATCCGAACGTAAGATAATTTTCTTTGGATTCGTTTGTTACCTAGAAAACTGTTGGAACGTGTTCACCGTTGACTAGATGATATCAGTTGTGTCTCAGTCATTCATCTGTTTGATGAAACTCTTCGTTTGTTTGCGATCAGTTTTTTTCGGCGGTGGATCATACCAGTCAGTCACTTGCTTCCTTTGGGCCTGATCTCTTACTGTCTGTGGCAAGCGCAGTGAACCACCGACTGACCTGAAAGCAAATCCATCAAAGCAAGAGTTCAGGCATACTTGTTACGTCTAAAATGAATTGCTTTACTGAGGAGGAAACTCTAAGCACCGTGTGTCTCGTCATCTTACCGTGGCAACTTTCGTCTGCTGATCACATTTACTTCACCAGGCTGATCGAAATTCAAATTTCCCTTACACGTACGTCGTTAGTATCAGGTATAAAGCAATGCCGAAATAAATGAATATATCATTCTGCGTATGCACAGCATGCATTAAAAACGATTAGGTTGTGCCATTTCATTTGCTGAAGGTGAAACACAATAAATCACTAAACCTCTGATCAAATTGTTTCCGTTTGGAATGATTCAGGATCGCGAGCCGATCGACCTGAGGCTCCATTTGTAAACATGACGTTTTGCTTATAGTTAATAGCACTATAACCTCTTGTTGCACTCGACCGCTCACGCTTCCCACCCTCACTTCACGATACACCGCATTATTATTATTATTATCATCATCATCATTATCATCATCATCATCGTCGTACCCCATTATGCCACTTGGGTACCTCTAGTGCCTCACGGACCAAAGTTGTGTTCTGTGTTTTTATCCATACTGTTTGCATTACCGATCTAGGTCAACAGTAAACCAGTCACTTAGTGAATCACATGTTCATACTTGTCTATCTGTCTAGATATTCCTTCACTTTATTGTGTGTATATTCCACAGATACTTGCCTTATTTTTAAATTATTTAACTCGGTCTAATGGCCTGCCGGTGTGATGGGTTGTTTCAGGCCCTCTGTATTAATAAGTAGAATCAAATGCAGGATCGAAATAAGAGTTGCTTTCGTGATTTACGTGTTCGATTTCATCGCCAATTTCACTCCGCTTTGCCGAAATATCGCTTATCCAATCCGCACAGATGCTCTCTCTTTTTTCTAATTGTCGAAAGCGACACAGACCACCGCGAACTGTTTTAATGCTGTTGAATTTATTTTGGTTTGCATGTCAGTTCATTTTTCCGATTATAGGGGAAGAAACCTTGAACGGTTTTCTGTCGGTCAGCTTTGGTGTTTTCTTTCGACTCAGAACACTTCGATTGGATTTTGCTCAACTCTCTACTCATTCGTCTCAGTGAAATTTTTAATGTAATTGACAAAGTTGTCCTTTTCTGTGGCAATATAACGACGAAATCTGGAGGATGTTTACTAAAAATCATACCACTTCACAAATAAGGTGTGATGTGGTTGAGGAAATCTGCTGAGACAAAACCTGTTTCAACAAATAAG